CACGGGGGGCAGTATGAGGGGCAGCACGGGGGGCAGGACGAGGGGCAGGACGAGGGGCAGCACGGGGGGCAGTACGAGGGGCAGGACGAGGGGCAGTACGGGGGGCAGTATGAGGGGCAGGACGAGGGGCAGTACGGGGGGCAGCACGAGGGGCAGGACGAGGGGCAGCACGGGGGGCAGTGCGGCTGCAGCGAGAGCCCCGCGCCCACCGGGGCAGTGCTGCCCGCGCCCGCCAGGCGGCGCCACCGGGCCCCGGCGCCAGCGCCGCGCAGTCTTTTGCATCATCAGAGCGAGAACGGGGGAAATACAATAAGGCAACGTGTTTTCTGGTGTTTCTTGTGCCAGCTGTAGTGCTGCCTCGGGAGCAGGAGGGACAGAGGCATCGAGGGCAGGAGGGACAGAGGCATCGGGAGCACGAGGGGCAGAGGCATCGGGAGCAGGAGGGACAGAGGCATCGGGGGCAGCCCGTGTGTCCCCCCTGTGCCCCCGGGCAGGGTCCTGCTGCCCCCTGCCCCTCTGTCCCCAAGTGTATAGGGATGCGTGCAAACGGCAGGTTGTCAGAGAAGGTGGAGATGTCTGTAGTATGAGAGGACACTGAACAGAAATGCAAGTAATAAGTAGCTGCTCAAGGCTGGAGTGGTCTGGACAGGAAGGACCTTTTTCTTGTCCCAAATTCTGTAGAGTCCTCGCAGCATTTGGACAAGGTGCTCAGCACTTTTGGCCTGGTAGTACCATCAGACCCGTGTAAATACACACAGAGGTACAGATGAAACAGGGCTGGGTGAAAACCCAGGAAACAGCTTGAACACACAGGTAGAGCCTGTGGCTTCACTCAGGTGCTCACCCTTGCTGGAACGTGCGTGGCTCATGCGCCTAAGCAGCCAGCTGAGTGTTGATGCAGGTGAATCAGGCTGTTTTAGCCCTTTGTGCCAGGGCATACGCCCTGCTTCCCTGAAAAACAGGTCTGAGATGCTGTGGGAGAGGTTCTTCCCCAAGCTAGAGATTTGTGTGGTTGAGGTATTGCACACAACAAGATGCACATGACTTGTATGAGATTGTATGTGGGAATAATGGGGCTCTCAAGTACTAGTCCAAGCTACCACCAAAACAAGTCCTTGTCATGCTGGCACAAGGCAGCAGCTCGCTAACTTTCCCTGCTATGAGCCAGTTTAGAGTGGTGATTTTAAGTGACCCCAAATACTAATACAGACATTGTATAAAATTGGATTTGTCAAACCTGTGACCTTTCTGAAAACTCTCCTGATCTCTGCTCTGCAAGTCTTTGGCACGGACTTGCACATTTGCAGTGACCAGGCTTCTAGGCGTCCTCTGGAGATAAAGCACTGAGTACATAAGTCAGAGGGAGGGATTGCTCTGTTTCTAGCTCAGCCTTATTGTAAGACCGTAGCAGCAGTGACAGCAAAAGCTGTTCTTGCACCTTCCTTGACCATCTCCTTGTTCCGTGGTGCGAGCAGCGCACACTGCGCGCTCCGCAGCGCCTCAGGGGCTGGCGCCCATCGTGCTCCGCTCCTGCGTGCCTGCAGAACGCGTGTCCGCCCGGCACAGCTGCCAACACCCACCCCGGGCACACGAGCCCGCGTCTGCGATGAGCCCGGTGTGTGCCGGGCACACGAGCCCGCCCGGGTCCCTCCCGGGACACGGAGCTGCGGCGCTGCCCCGGCAGAGCGGGGTCCCGGGGCCCGAGCGGAGGCCGCTCCGCCTCGTCCCGGCGGGAGATCCCGCATCCCTGCCGAGACCCCGGCCCCGCTCCCTGCCGCGGGCGCTCGGGCTCTGCGGGCTTTGTGCCGCCGCGGCCGCGGAGCCGGAGCCGCGCTCGGCGGAAGGCGCCGTATCAGGATAAGAGTCCCCGCCGGTCCGGCCCGGGGGCGGAGGGAGGCGCCGGCTCCGCCGCCGGCCGCGTTCATCGCGCCGCCGGCCTCGGCAATGGCTTTAACCCTTCGCGGCCCCGCCGCAGGCGCTGCCCGCCCGCAGAATGCCCGCTGCGCTCCCCTGGCCACCCCGCCTGGCACCGGCAGGAGCTCCCTCGCAGCTCCGGCGCCGGTAAACCTCAGCCTTTTCTCGGCTTGCTGCTTGGCAGGGCCTGCCCTGGACCGTAGCAGTGTCGCAAGAGCAGGGAGAGCCGAGCAGGGCCCCACGCAGAGCAGTCCGAAAACCCTGGAGCAGGCAGCAATAGCAGTTGTGGTAGGAGTGAAGCTCATACTCCATGCCAGGATTCCAGCAACATCAGGACTACGTGGACCTGAGATGATTTCCCTAGGGCTGCAGTGAGCATCTGAGGTGCTGGGAGGATCAGGCTGGCATTCAGGGTGCTCAGGAGTGACAAGAAGGGGAGAAGACTTGAAGAGCTGCATCCTGTCTGCACCCATACAGGCATCAGGAATGCATCAGGCATCCAAGCAATAGCAAGGCATCCAGGATGCTGAGTCTTGGTGTCATTGTGATCCTGGAACCTTGTCAGGGGTTTGTCTTTGCTAGATGATGGTCTAGCAGCCATGCTGAAGCTGCAGCAGCTGCAACAGCATATTTTCATTTGGAAAGAGGATGCCTCAGTTTGATTAAATTCTCCCTCAGTACCTCAGCACAGGCTGTGTTTTGCCTTTAGGACTGCAGCAAAGGAAAATCCCAGTCCCCAGCTCCAGCATGACAATGCTAAGCAGGAGACCCTGGCTGGCTGCATTGCTTCATGTGCTGTCTTTGAGCTTCCATGTTTCTTTTGACTGCAGTGGGTGAACAGTCTTGGTCTGCTGGAGAGGTGATAGTTAATAAAGAAAAGTGATCCTGTTTAAAAGCAGAAACCAAACTGAGCACTTCTGATGCTGTCCAAGTCCATGGAGACAATGGCACAGGCTGCCTGGGCAGCTGCACTGGTGGCAGAGGCAGTGCAGGCTCCTTGCAGTGGCCTGCTGCTGGTGGCTGCCCTGCTCAAACTCCAGTGAGCATGAAATGAGGGAACCCCAGCTGACTGCAGGGGTGGGTGCAAACCTGGGGCCTCTCCTAGGCTGGCTGCTTTTCCCTTTTCCCTGAGCAATGGCTTTGTAGTAACAGCAAAACAGAAGTGTGATTGAGACCTTGCAGTGCAGTCCAAGGGAGATCAGGCACATCAGGGACTTGTGAGACTATGGGACAGAATCTGTGCTAGTGTCTGAGCAGAAGAAAAGGACACTTTGGCCAAGAGTCTGCAGAGGCATGGGCAGGACTGAGAGCAGCCTGGGAAGAGATGAAAAGATGTTTTTAGGCCTGTGGGAGTTCACCAAAGAGGCAGTGAGATGTATGGCCTCAGCGCTCCCCTGGAGGGGTCATCTTCCTTGGGTGGCCAGGGCAGGCAAAGGATGCTCGATGCAAAGGGGTTCTCGGTGCCTGCCCGCTCGTGCAGACCGCGGACCCCCGAGCTAAAACCCGGGACATCCGCCACCCGTGCCTTCCGTCTGCTCCGGCCGCGGCTGCTTCCCACGGGCACTGCTGCACACGGGCGAAGCCAGCTGTGCCAGCTGCCAAAGAGCCCCTGCAAAGGCCGATGTCGCGTCCTTCCAGTTGGGGTTGGAAGCAGCTTCTCCCTCGCTCGCTCCCTCCCTCTTACGGCAGCCGTCGCTCCTCGCTGGGTTTCGCTGCAGCACCGCCCGCCCGCGGGGAACGGGAGGCTCCGCCGCGTCCCCCCCATGTGCCTGCAAAGGGGGTGGCCAGGGCAGCCCCTCCCGCCTGCCCATGGGGGACAGAGCCCCGGTGCCGCCGGTGCCGCCGGTGCCGGGACTCGCCCGGCGGGGCGGGGCCCTTGTCCCCTCCCTGTCCCCACCCTGCCCCCCGTTCCTGTCCCCACCGCCGCCGTTCCCTCCTCGCCCCGGTTCGGGCGCTGCGGGTGTGAGAGAGGGGCGAGTCTTGTGTTAATTTTCAACCGAGGCCGCTGCCTCCCGTCAGTGGAGCTGGATTGTTTGTCCCCACGTCACCTTGAGCTCTGCAGCTCTGGGGACGCTGGCAAGTGGTCCCTGCCTGCAGCCCTCTCCTCCCGCCCCACTCCTGGGCGGCTGGTGCCCTTCAGGCAGGAAGGTGACAGGTCCTGGTTAGGATGCTGGTGGCATCGCCCAGGAGCGGGCAGGCTGCCTCCACAGCCTGGTGTGCATGTGCACTGCGCGGCTCCCCTCCGTGGAGCCTGTTGCTCAGGGCAGGAGGTGGTTAATGCCTGGAAAACTTGTTGGTAAAGATAATAACATGCTGCTCTTCTCAAGGGCTGGAGCTAGTCCCTGTGCCTTGTGTGTAGAATTACAAAATATTTTGAGTTGGAAGTGACCCACAAGGATCATCAAAGTCCAACTCCGCATAGGCTCTGGGAGATGTGGCAAAGGTGGGATCAGGCGTGGGGCATCCCCGGCACAGTGAGGCTCGAGAGCAGGACTCGCAGGGTCTCGGCCTGAGCGGAACGGGTGTTTCGGATGATAACGGGCAGAAGGATGCTCAGCAGGAGCAGTCCCCGCGCTGTCGCGGGGAGGAGTGGGATGCAATTCTGCAGGTCCCGGCTGTGCTGAGACCCGTGTGCCATCGCCTACACGTCTGTGAGACTCGTGGGTGTGCGACACCTGGACGGCCACTCGTAGGGCGCCGGCCACTGGTCGCGGGAGGCCCGGAAAGGGCGGCGGTGCCGATCCCGGTCCCCGGCGGCGGTGCCGGTGGCGGGCGGTGCCGCTGGGCGGCCGGCGGGGCGCCCGCGACCAGGAAGCGGTTAATCGGCGCGCGGGGCTTTTATTTTGACAGGGCAGCGCCTGGCTCCGGCTCGGAGGAAAGTGAATGATCCTGTTTCTCCAAATGATTATTCAGGCTCCGGCGGAGAAAGGAGCACTCGGCCCGCAGCGCCTCGCCCTCGCCACGGCGCCCCCGCCCGCGCCCGGGCCGCCGCGCCCGGCCTACCCTGAGCCGCTCCGCCGCCGCCGAGGTGAGTGCCCCGCCAGGCCCGGGCAGCCGCCGTCCCATTGTTCCGCCCCGGGGGGGAGCCGGGGCTCCGCGCCGCCCCCGCACCGACCCTCGCTCCGCGCGGCCGGGCCCGCCTCGGGGCTGTCATCCGGCCCGGGGGGCGGCCGGGAGCCGCCGGCCGAGCCCCAGACTCCGGGCCGGCCGCCGTACCGTCGCTCCCGGGGGCGGCGATAACTTGGCGGGGGACGGCGCCGGCCTGGGCTCGGCCTACCCGCCGGGTCCGGGCGGCTGGGGACGAGCTGTCAGTGCTCCCGCTTCCCTGGACATTGCTCCTGCTCCGCGGGACCTTGCCCGGTTCTCTCTCACGGCTCGGGGACCGCTCTTCCCAGGTCCTTGTCACCCATTGCTGCTGCGGACAAAACTGCCTCCACTGGGGCTTTTCTCTGGTGCAAAGAACTTAATCGAGTTCCGTCTCGTTTTACCGGAGCGGGTCTGGATTTTGCAAGACGTTATCGGTGCTGTTAAAGCCCCAGGGAGGATGGGAACTTGCCACGTCTCACAGAGGGTTTAAACAAACACTCCTGTCAGGGCTCGTTCTAACTGTCAGGGGAGACCTGTCCCCTCTATTTGCAGTGCTCTGCTCGATAAGCTTCGGTTCCCTGTTGAGATAAATCAGGCGTGTGGTCAGCTTGGAGGGAAAGTGATAGAAACACCACATGTACATACGTATTTTTCTTGTGCACGGAAAGGAATCGGTGTAACAAAACCTCCCCTGCATTGTATTAGGGACGTGTCTTTAGCAGGTGGCGAACTTGCTCCAGCCCCGTTCTTGCTGGAACAGAAATGCGAGAAGGATGCATATCTGAGCACATAAGTAATGCTACATGACAGGGCAGGCTGTTGTGTTGTTGTGTGTGGCAGCGTCTGCACGCCTTGGGGGCAGCTCCGTTTGACAGGGTGTCAGGCTGCGGCAGCACAGGCCGTGTCCTGGCTCTGCCAGGGAAAGGGCTGCCAGCAGCGTGGCACAGGGACAGCCACGCACCTTTGGCTGCAGTGATGCTACAGGAGCCTTAGTGTGTACTCTTGAGCTGCAGGATCTGCTCTGCGAATGTGCCTACCACTCATTACCCTGCCGAAGTGCAGCCTCATGCCAGGCGAGCAGTAACGACATGCAGCTCCCTCCATCCGTCAGTCACATACAGGGGCTGTGTGTGTGCCTTGCTTTGCTACTTTGGTGGCAGGAGGGATAAGAGCAGTGAGTCACCGAGGAAGCGATTTGCCCAAGGTCACTTGGCAAGGGTGTGTGGTGCTGAATCAAGACCTCCTTTGACTCTGGTGCCTGTGATAATGCTGGCTGCCACCACATGTGGGTATGTAATACCCAAGGCTGGAACTAGTGCAGAAATGTCCAGGTCGATGTTGCTGCCTGATTCTCCTTGGTGGAAAGATGAGAGTGTCAGTGTGCTGTCTCTACAGCAGCTGTCTGCTCCATTGGGACTTTTGCCAGAGCATACATAACCTAAGTGGTGAAGAACCTTTTTGTTTGTTTTTTTAATATGTGTGTTGCCATTTTAGCTGCGCAGGTGGTGGGATTGGTTGCTCCTTACCACCCTGACCTGCATCTTCATTACCTAGAAAATCCATTTCATGGTGTTTTCCGTGGTGCAGTGTTGTAGGTATTACTGTGTCTCCTTCCCCTGAAAGTCCATTTCCTCTTTCCAGATCCTGGCCACTGTAAAGAAACAAACAGGCAGCAGCTAAAGGAAAGCCTGCTTAGAAACTAGAAACCACAGTTCTTGTTCAGTTGAAGAAAGTAAAAGAGTTGTGTTTTGTACTTTCAAGCCCTTTTGCATCTTGCTGTGTTGCTGTTGGAAGGTGGCTCTCTGGCCACTGTGTGACAGAGGGCACAGACAGCTGCATGAAGCAACTGGACACAGCAATCTCACTGCTGCTCCAGGGCAGCTGCCAAGGATGTGCTGGAGTTGCACTTGAGTTCCAGGCTAAGTCCAGCCCGTGAGCTCTGGACTTCACTCATACTGGCCTGGAGTTTCTGAGGTCCAAGCTCTACTCAGCCTTTGATTTTCTATCAAGTTGTCAACCCAGCTGACATCATGTGCTCCATACTTGCTGTTTTGGGGAGAAAAAAACTTTGCTTTTTCTTCTCTCCTCTGCTGTTCACTCCTGCTGAACACTGTGAGTGCTTTCCCTTCTGTCAGTGCTTGCTGTGTGGAGGGATGTGGAAAGGAGGGACAGCTGGAGAGGAGGCTCTTGGTTCCCTCTGTGGGGAGCATCAGCTGGGTCCCAGCCAGGGGCTGTTTCTTACTGCTGTAGAGACCTTGCTCTTTGTTACTCTCTGGTTTGTTTCAGGGTCCCAGAATAGGTCCTGGGATTGTTTTCTGTCTCTTTCAGCCCCACCTCTTGTCAGTACAGTGTCCAGTTCAGAACATCAGAACAGCCCTTGCTTCCTTGCCCTGTCTCAGGTGATTGCATCAGGCTTTGCTGCTGCTAGGAGGGAAAGTTCTTAGTGGTCAAAGCACTTGAGGATGTGTTCCTCGGGTGTCCAGATGTGCTGCTGTAATGGGTTTTAATCTGCTCAGGTCTAGTAATTTCCTGGAGTTGGCACAGGCTGGCTTCCAGCACTTAATTCCTTAGGGCTCCATCCAGTTTTAAATACCCTGCCCGAATCTCTCAAGTTGGTCTCTTCTGGGAGAATAAGTCCCATGTGGGAAAGCACAAGTTTGCTGTTCCTGCCTGAGAGTGCATCAGCAGTCTGTTCCACCTGTGAGCCTGCTCCTGATCTTCTGTCGCTGCTTCCTCCCAGGGTTGTCTGCGGTCCCCCAGCAGCCTTAGCCAGGCAGAAGCCTAGAGCTTGCTCTGAAAATGTCATTTTCCTTGTTGCTCTGTTGGCTGAGACCCAGGATGGTGCCAGTGCCCTGGACTGGGGGTGGGGGAGGGCCGTGGGGGTGTGAGAGGGCACACAGGAGACTTGAGCAGTGTTTGACTAGTTTTGACATTTTTAACAGGAAATGTGGTATGTAGATGCATGGATATATAATATAATGCATGGTACAGATATCATAGCGATGTGATGTACAGATGCAGCAATATTTTGTCAGTGTTATTTAAGCTGTATCAGCGAAGTGCAAGGAGGGTTGCCAGCACGACTCTTCTGGAAAATCAGAATCCAATGCAGGTCAGGACTTGGTGTCAGTCAGCTCTCCTTTCCTCCCAGGAAGATTCTGACTGGCAAATGCATTCTCTGGTGATCTCATGTGTGGTCCTGTGTTTCCAGAGGGTGGTGGGAGCTGTGGATTCTGACTTTATGTAGTTGATCTCCATGAGATTTAGTTACCCTGTGAGGTTTCTCATAGTGCTGAAGCTGTGGAAAAGTACACCTGCCTTGGGGCAAGGGGCCTTGGAAGTGTTGTGAGTGCTTTGCTTCTCAGTTGTGCATCTTCAGCAGCTCTGTGTGGTGCAGATTGTGAGGATGGCCACAGTGATATTGCTCAGTTTTTCTTGACTTCTGTTTTGAAGTTGTGTGCTGATTTCCAATGGGCCAGTCTTTGCTGCTTTGGTTTGGCTTCCTTTCTTCACCACCTCTGGCAGCCCTGAGTGGAAGGTACCCAGGAGCTGTTACCCAGGAGATTGGTGGGCATGGTTTCTGTTGCTGTATTTTGCACTTCATCAGCCTCTCCTGAGAAGGCAGCACCAGCCAAATCACATGGCATGGAGGAGAGGCACCCTTCCTTCTGCTGTGGTGCCTGTTCCAGGTCATCTGCTTAGCACCAGACCCTATCCTGGGAACAGGGAACTGGTTTTGTTTTCTTCCTACCTGATCTTCTATGAAACTCAGAGGTGGATGGCGTGATGGCTTTGTTCTAACTGGGACCAGTTCACTATGGCATTTGCAGTTGCCACAGGGTTATACTCAGCAGGAGATAGTGTAGGGGAAGGAATTAGTGTCATGGTACTTGCTTCTGATTTAAGAGCTCTCCAGGCTATGGAGAGCAGCTTGTCAGGTGTCCTGCTTGCTCCCTGTATCCTGGCCAGCAGATCAGCACTTGTTGGTGCCCAGGGCAGCCTGGGCCATGGCGTGGCAGGAGGACAGAGCATGGGTTGACTTGGCATGTCTGTCTAAAGCCTGTACCAAGCCTTGGAAATGGGTGTGCTGCTGTTGGGCATCCTGACTGGCTCCAAGTCCTGCTTGCTTGGGCCCAGACCTGCTGCTGCTGCCCCTCTTCCAAGGCCTGGGATGGGCCATCTAAGACAATATGACTCCGAAATAAACAGGGCTGCCTTGATGCCAGCTACAACCCTGCACTGTAGAAACCAGTGTGAGGATATTGGGCTGCAGAGCCCTGAAGAGGGAAATGATAACCTGTTCTGCTCTCGCTGGGTGTGTGTCCGTGCTGGGCACCGTCAGTGCAGTGAAGCCTGCTCCCCACTTGCTCAGCTCTTCATGGAGAGGTGCTCTGGTTCTTTGACAGCTACTAGTGTCTGGGCACAGGTGGCTTCCCTGTATCCTGGTGTCCTTGCTGAATTGTCAGATGGGTGCATCCGGCTGTGGTTTCCAGCCCCTTTTCCACTTCCTGTGATTGGAGGGCAATGCCTTCACCTGGCATCATCCTGCTGCATCTTTCTGGGCAGCTCCAGGCAGAGGAACATGTAAGCTGTGCCTGGGCATCTTTGGGAGACAGGACTTCTCCAATGCAGGCAGATTGTCTGGCATCTTCAGCTGGATCCACTAGAGAAAACAGTACTTTGATGCTGGGTTTTTCTTCCCCCAAAGAGCTAGAGCTACGTTTGGGTGTTGGGTTTTTCAGCTGCGACTCAGGATGCCTGGAATCCCAGCTGGGGTATAATGGGGAGCCTCTTCTGATGCTGGGGTAATAGCCTCAAGATGGCTTTCGGACTGCTGTGCACTGTGCCCAGAGGTGGGGCGTCACCCTGTTTGGTGATGAGCGCTGCTGGAGCCAAGTCCTGGGCCAGAAGCCAGGTTTGTGATCCATGCCAGAGAGGGCGAGACTTGGAAAGCAAAGCAGAGCTCCTCCTGAGTGAGAGATGGACTGAAATACTGAGCAAAACCACAGAGTGCTCCTTGTTCCTGCCTATGCCTACTTGTCTTCTTTCTTCCCAAAGTATGTGGGAGGCCACAGGATGGATCTGCTAGGGAGCAGGAGGGCTGTGCTGCTCAGGCACGTCTGCACCATTGTGCCTCTTCAGGGTGCTGGTTGGGTTGGTTTTTTTCAGTTTTATTTTGTTTTATTTTTGGTTTTTTTTCCCTTTTAACCCCGCCTCTGGTATTGCTGGATCTTCCCCATCCTTGCTGCTACTGGTTTAACAGC